TTTTACGATACATGCTGTATTAGTAATGGCTGAAGTACCCACATCTTTCAAATGACAAGTGTGCTTATATAGACAAATTATGACAAAATAACAATTGCTGAGTGAGTACAAGAAAAAGAAATGTGATTATTTCATAGTTTTTATAAATATACTTTCAAGGTTTTTTTAAATTTTCAAAATAAAAAATTGGAAGTAAGAAACTAAGGGAAAAAAGAGAGAAATAGCTTACTGATACCATGGGGGTGTCTTGGAGGGCTTTAGCCAAGTGGAGCACCCTGCTCTTAATTTTAACCAAATCCAATGAAATATCAGAAGTGATTATAGAACAAATTGAGGAATCAAGCTAAGATGGCAAACAAATTTCTAAACCTCTTCTTCCTATTTACTTAAGGCATGTGGATGGCAAGTGGTATAAAGGTGTTGGTAAATGAGTTCTAATGAATCTTAATCCATTTTATCAGCAAAAGACATAAAATGAAATTAAAAGGCTAATATGTGTTCCTTCTTCTAAATTATAATTCCAAAGGGGCATGGAGGACTGGTAGGTGGGGAAGAAAAAGGTTATTTAAAAGTTATTACAGCCCTAGCAGGTTTGGCTCAGTGGATAGAGTGTTGTCCTGTAGGCCATAGGATCCCAGGTTCAATTCTGGTCAAGAGCATGTACCTCAGTTGCAGGCTCCTCCCCGGCCCAGGGCCCTGGTCAAGGAGTGTGCAGGAGATAACCAATCGATGTGTTTCTCTCACATCAATGTTTCACTCTGTTTTTCCCTGTCTCTTCCACTCTCTCTAAAAATCAATGGAAAAATATCCTTGGGTGAGGATTAACAAAACGAAACGTTATTACAAAAACAAGTTAACACATTGGCTCATTTTTTTTGAGAAGTTGGCAGGATGTAACTAGATGTTTTCTTATCTAAAGCTAATAAACATCTATAATTAGATATATACAATCAGAATAGAGCCCGTATTATTTTAAAATCTCCCAAACCGAGAAAAGCATCACCACCAGTATGGTGTCTTATCTTTTAACAAAAGAACCATCCTTCCAAGATTTTTTCCTGGAGCTTATTTTGTAATGACAGACATTGAATCAGCACACACTTAATCCCACTACCAGTACATACAATGCTCCACTAACTATGTAGCATTCTGTCTTAAAAGCTCTCAAAAACACATTTGCATCTCAAATATTGCTGGGTAGACTCTGCTGAACTAAACACAGTACTGGAATTTTTATATGGCCATTAAACTTGAAGGAGTATTTTTATTCAAGTAGTTGTGAGTTTATTTTAGATTATGAAATCAGCCACCCCATTTCCCTCTGAAATCCCAAACAAAATGCAGCAAAGTTAATGACTACATGGCAGGATAATCACTCAAACTTTTTAATCTCCCTTTACACATTATATTAACATTCATATTGCAAGGCATTCCATTCACAAATATTACAGTTTGATAAAAAACTTCGCACACATACCCCCGAAAGTCTACAACCAGATTCAGTCACCCGACTAAATCATTAAAATAATAAAATGAAAACATTATCGTAATTCTTTTAAAGCAACAACGTCTGAGGCACTCTGGGAAAGATATTCTCCTCCAAGTATTAACATGTCAGTGGTATTGAATTATCTTACAAGAAAGTCACCTGAAACCCAGTAATCAAGCACACTGTAAGGACAATGCCTTTGATCTGCTATGGCTTCACTGGGTACAATCCCACGTGGACCGACCTACTGAAAAGAACACAGATATTGGGCAGCTGAGGTCATTTCTAATGAGATTCCCAGAGATGTAAAGGTGAAGTATGTTTACAGCTGCATTCCTACTGCAAGGAAAGCAGGCCAGTCCTGAAAGGGGTCCTTTCTCCTCACCACCAGGCTTACTAAACGTTCGGTCTAACCTCTCACCTGACCGACTCTGCTCACTGCTGGAGAGCTTTCAGAACTGGCTTTCCCCATCCACTTCCATAGTGCAACCTCCACCCTCCTCTGAATATCTCCAAGGTGTGCTCTAGAAATAAAAAAGAGTGGAAGAAAGGGAACTCGTTCCCTCCCATTTTGACTAAAGAGAGGTCTGAAACAGCAATGTATTACAAAACCCTCATGCTCTGCAACAGCCACCACCTCATGGAGCATGGCTATTTTTGCCATAAACTAGATTTTTTTTAAAACCTAACCTTTTCCCAAAGTGAATTTTGCCACATCCATTCACTGACAGTCTGACTGAGTGTTTCCTTACACACAACTACAAAGGTAAATAATTAGCATTGGGTGGGTGGGGGTGGGGGGAAGGGGCAATTCCCAACTGGGAATTAAACTAACTACTGCACACTATGGGTCCATTTATGACAGAATCAACACAAACCCAGGGCACATAGTGTTCAGTAATTACATATAAGGAATTTAAAATGTATACATATATATTTCCTATATAATAAAAAAAATCTGAAGCAACCGATGTTGCTAAAGTTTCAAGGGTTCTCATGTTCTACATTCATGTCTCTGGAAAGCAGCTGGCTCTCAGTGCCCAGTTGTGGCAGTGATAAAAGCAACTAGAAGCAGGTTTAGGTAAAAGTGCTCAAAGGGCAAATGAGAAAACAGGGTGCAGAGCCTGGGGTGGGAGCAGGGAGAGAGGGGAACACTGAAAGGAGTTGAAAGTGTTTCCTTTATTCTTCTTGGCTTTTCCAGACCCAAGACAAGTTCTTGAGGACACGTGTCAGATGCTGTAATCCTTCCTTATCTATAGTCAAAACAAAACAAATAATAAAAAATTTTCTCTTCCATTCTGTACTCTCAATAAAAAGCCTCGTACAGCCAGGAAGTGTTACTGAGATGTGCCATCTCGGGGAAATTAAAACTGGGACATGAAGTGAGGCCGCTCGCTATCCAGTCGCCGGGTTAGGATTTCACAGCCAGTGTCCGTGACCAGCAGGGTGTGCTCAAACTGAGCAGACCGCTTCCCATCTCTCGTCACCGCGGTCCATCCGTCGGGCCAGGTTTCATCCTGCCATCCACCTAAAACAACCAGAAACAATTTCTTACTTCCATCACCCAGTTTTCTAAATAAGTTCCAGGTAAGTGTATCTGTGTATCCTGTATCTGTAGATAGCACAGAAAACCAATTAGAAAATTCTCTATTAAGATGCCTATTTACACTTCAACTAAGTTTTAGCTAAAGCTGTTGATATTTAAATTTACACAGGTGTTATACTTGACAAGTTTTATACTTCCCAAATATCAAATCAAGATAGTATTTCCAAAATAAAAGCACGTGGGTTTCATTTTAGAAAATATATTAATACCACTCACCATAAAGCTATAGGGGAAAAAAATGAATGCATGAATGTAGCCCTTTCCTGGTCTAACTCTGGCATCTGACTAAACTATAGCCAGTGTTGATAAAGATCGTCTCTCTTCACTCTTACAGCAGCCCTGGAGAAGTGGCAAAATATAAATGGTATTTCCCATTTTACAGAAAGTCTGCAGCCCCTCAAAGGCTCTCCATGCTCCCCTCCGCCACTGAGTGCAGGCTGGGTTTAGAGACCAGGCCTAAGGAAGAGAACCTGGTAGGAGTGACAGGATGTCTCTCCCAAGATTAAGTTATAAAACAGACGGGGAGGATCAGAGAGAGGCATGTCCTTTCCCACAGGGCCAGGACACATGCCTACTACTGCCTCACTCTGCATCCCTAATCCCAACAAAGAGCTGGCAGAAAGGAAAGGCGAAGGTCTCACGAGGCAGACCCGAGTTACCAACTGAGTCTATGATCATTGCCATGTGCCTACCACAGGAATAACAGCAGTGGGGACAAACAACTGCCAGCACTAAGTATGCCTGTGCTGTGCTTTCTCCACAATAGTTGTGTGACACCACTGACATCGTGAGTGCAGACCTTGAGGCAGAACAGCTCAGGACATTGGAATCCGACAGAATCTGCCATGCAACTAGCTAAATGACTTTATGCTAGTTACATAATCTCTTCGAGGATCAATTTGCTCTTCTGTATAATGGGGACAGCACCTACCTCATAAATTGTGGAGAGTTAAATCATTTAACTGTGTCTGTCTCAAAGTGAGTGGCTCTACTTCTTTTTTTCTTCCTCTCCACCTTCCCACCCCTTCCCCATGTCAAGCAAGAATTTCTACACAGGCTTGATGGACGCTTCTAAATATGATAATGTAGGCCCTGGCTAGGTGATTCCGTTGTTTAGAGCGTTGTCTCGATATACCAAGGTTGTGGGTTCGATCCCCTGTCAGAGCACATACAAGAAGCAACTAGTGAATGAAAAAGTAAATGGAGCTGAAACCGGTTTAGCTCAGTGGATAGAGCGTCAGCCTGCGGACTGAAGGGTCCCAGGTTCGATTCCGGTCAAGGGCATGTACCTGGGTTGCGGGCACATCCCCAGTGGGAGATGTGCAGGAGGCAGCTGATCGATGTTTCTCTCTCATCGATGTTTCTAGCTCTCTAGCTCTCTCCCTTCCTCTCTGTAAAAAATCAATAAAATGTATAAAGAAAAAGAAAAAGAAAAAGAAAAAGTAAATGGAACAACAAACCGATGTCTGTCTGTCTCTCTCTCGCCTCCCTATGGACAATCAATAAACAATTAAAAATTACAATGCATCCTGTGACAGGATCTTTATTAAAAGGGACCAGGATTCAAGTACTTCAGCATCTACTGAGAGCAAGAGAAAGTACCGCTTCCTTGCCAACCCTTACAATGTTTAAACATTTATCTTTTTAATCCTCACCCAAGGACATGCTGATACAGGAAAGAGGAGGGGAGAGGAGGGAAAGCGGGGGAGAGAGAGAGAGAGATCAGTTGTTCTGTTTGTGTCCCAACTGGGAATGGAACCAGCAACCTTTCAGTGCACAGGACAATGCTCAACCAACTGAGTCACTCCGCCGGGCAACCCTCACAATGTTTAGTTCTCTACATGATACTAAACCAAGCTGAGATGGGACAGGGAGCATAAATGAAGAAAAAGTGAGTAGAGCAGACTACTAATTTGTACATCCGTAACCAAGAGTAAACAAAAATTCAATTAAGGAGTGTACAGCATCCTTTTTGCTCACCTTCACAAATCATTGGCTCAATGGTAAATACGTGGCCCGCCTTCATCACTCCAACTGCTTTATTTTCTGTAATTAAAGAAGAATAAAACTAAAAACATAGCAAAAAACCAACAGTGTTGCTGAAAAGCTCACTGGAAAGAGGAGACAACTGTATTCCCATCAGTCATCCTCAATTACCTCCTCCTCTCCCGATTCTCCTTTCTTACAGTAGATCATTAACAACTGATAACCCCCTACTCTGGAGCAGATATGCTCCTCCATGACGTCACTGCTCATGTTTCTCTAGGAAAGTACAGACATCCAAAGGCTGAATTGTAGATGTGATTATCACTTTTACAAAAGGAGAAGTGCCACAATTTATGTGACAGCAGGATTAGAAATGCAATCATGGAACCAAGCAAAATTGCTTACTCACCCCGGTGTAACAGTGTGGAGGCGTGTGTGGGTGAGTGGTGGGAGTCGGGGCACAGCCCATAGAAACACTGCATGATTTTTCAGTTGTCTTCTTTTTCTTACCTTCAAAGGGGGAAAAGCCTCTGCACACTACCCTATTTTTTTTTAATGCTGACGAGACTATTCCTTTTTATTTGAAATCAGAAATTCCATTTCTCCCTCCAAATACTGTTTTAGCTTTTGATCCAAATTCACTAACATCAGAGCATTTCTCAGGACCATCATGAGAAGCACAACTATTAGTCCAACTGTCCAGACCTGACAACCCTCTCCAGGATGCCGAAAGTTAAAAATAGGGATAGGCCTTTTTAGACACTCTCAGACAAAATCAGAGAACCAGTTTAAATTTCAAATTAAAAACCAATTAATAACAGCCCCAACAAATGAATGCCTGCATTTACTCTGCCAGACCAGCAGGGGGCCAAAACACGGCTTTCAGGGTTTTTTGGTCTGGTGGTTATCTTCATGGTGCTGACTTTGGTAATGACTGACACATGTCCACTGAGGCTGAATCTACTAAGTATCACACTTTCTAGGTATCTCACCCACATCTTTCCTTGTAAATGGCTATCATGCTGGTTTCCACTACCTGAGGTATTGCCAAAATCTGAGGAGTAAACATAATTTTGACTTTTTATTTCTAATCTAAATAACTTTCTCCAAATGACATGCAATTACTACATATAAAGAATTGGTCCTCGCCCTAACTGGTTTGGCTCAGTGGATAGAGCGTCAGCCTGCGGACTGAAAGGTCCCTGGTTCGATTCCAGTCAAGGACATGTACCTTGGTTGCGGGCACATCCCCAGTAGGAGGTGTGCAGGAGGCAGCTGATCAATGTTTCTCTCTCATTGATGTTTCTAAATTTCTATCTCTCTCCCTTCCTCTCTGTAAAAAATCAATAAAGTATATATTTTTTAAAAAAGAATTGGTCCTATTCCCTTGAGAAAACATCAAGAGTGTCAGTGTTGTGTCATGGACAGAAAAAGGGATGAAGAAATCTAGAGCTGCCGTCCGACACAGCAGCACTGGCTGCGTGTAGCCACTGAGCACTGGAAAAGTGGTTGGTCAGAATGAGATGGGCTGTAAGTGTAAAAATACTCTGATTTTAAAGACAAAAAAAGCATGCAATATATCTCAATAACTTTTCCATTCATTACATGTTGAAATGCTACTATTTTGAATGTAACAGACTAAGTAAAATATACTATTAAAATGAATTTCATCTATTTCTTTTTACTCTTTGAATAGGATCATTAGAAATTTTTAAATTATATATGTGCCCCATCTATTCTATTGACCAGCACTGGTAAGAGAATCTGAGCTCCACTCCTCATTCTGCCATCGATTCATTAATCTAGAAAGGTTACAACTCCTACACATCTCGATTCATGGTTTCAGTTTTTCAATTTATCTCAACCAATACACATTATCTGAGCGACTACACTACTGCAGACACTGTGCTAAGTACTTTTTAAAAAATGTGTACCTCACAGAATTATTGCAATATACATTCTAAACGTAGGTATTATCATCATTACTTCCCAACCATTAACAACTTAAATAATGAAGCAAACTCTCATCTAATAAGGACTTGTCTCATACAGAAGAGGTGGAGGGAAGTTAACACAATTCCCTGGTTCCAGCTCAGTAGGTCAGGAATATGGAGTTACAACCCAAAGCAGAGATCATTTACATTCCAAAAGGCCTCCGCTCCACAAGGACTCTCAGCAGTTTCCTCTAACACTTCCCTAAAGTGAGCACAACAGATGCTGATTTATATAAACCAGATTTACACGTGATGTTTCATAAACATATCAAATGTATGACATGAAGCAGATCTAGCTCGCCCTTCCTTCTTTCCTCAGAATTTTATTTCTAACTAGGTGGTCTTAAAAAACTTCAAGTGGCATCTCTTATATACCAGTGGCACCGTATTTTGCTGACCCCACATCACTGACGCACATCTCCTTCTCCCACAAATTCTATCGCCTCCCAACAGTCTCTCTTCGTATCATCTATACCTAAACCTGAGTTTGTCACTTCTGTAAGGGCACATTTTCATTCCCTCTCTGCACACATATTTTTTATTTACACACACACACACACACACACACACACACACACACACACACACCACTGTAATCAGAATAGTTACTTCTATTCTAAGAGAATGCACACCACTTGGCTACAGGGCTTACCAGTAAGGAATGGAGTCGGCTACTAGTTTTCTGCTCCTAGCTTTTATTTCAAGCATAATTCACAACTTAAACAAAAAGAACTATGTGGTCTGTTAATAAATGCTCATTGATCTCTGTTAAAGGCTATACTCTAAACAACTTCTTCAGCTCCTCCTAAGTGGCTTCTGGCTCATTTCCCTTCCTCTTCACAACCTGCCATGTAGGATTTTACCACCTCACATCTGGACCACTGCCAGTGCACTGGGCTAACTAGCAACACCAGTTCACATCTCCAATACATTCTAGATACCACTGCCAAATCCGTCTTCCCAAAACAGCAACTTCACTTGCCACTCCTCTGCCCAAAAATGTTTCTGAAAATCCCTACAAATAAAGTCAAATATCCTTAGGCTAGCAATGCTATTACTAAAAGTTCTTAACACTTAAGAGCCAAGCTTGTATTATCTCTGTTCAGTCTCAACTTGAAGCACCTATTCATGCTTCCCCTCCACCTGAAATGGTCTTCATCTTCCCCCGCCAAACCAAATCTTGGCCATTCTTTATTTCCCCCACAGGCCCAGCAACACACTGCTTCAGTCTTTACAAAGTACAGGGGAAGACTGACTCTAGAAAGCCAGGCAGAACCCAGGTACGAATCCTAGTCCTGCCATTGTCTTACTAGTTTGTGTGAAGCTGAGTGAATAAATTACTTCTCTAAGCACAAAATCTGCTTTTTAAAATAGGGCTAAGAAATTATGCAAGGAGTTGTAATGATCAAATGAGATAATGTAGGATTTTCAACCTCTTCATCTCATGAATAGTATGAACTTATTACTAAAATTCTGCAGCACACCAAAAAAACAGATTTTTTGCCAATCTAATAAAAAAGTATAATTTTGATTGATTTACATAAAAAATATTAATAGTAATTGCCTACTCTTTTTGCTCCAAGTGATTTAAAAAAAAATCAGGTACCTATACTTGTATGTAAGAATTTCTGGTACCAAGAATTAACCAATCAGATGCAACTTTATTATGCAACGTAACCAATAAATGCAACTCTATTATATAACCTATATAGTTATGGTTTAAGACAGAGCATTCACATCAGACAGCTATTTGACAATCTAAGAGAAAAGAGGTCAGTGCCCCTGACTAAATAGTCAGGTATTGCATGTTTAAAAGTTCCTGTGGCACATGAGGGTGCTGCAACATACCGGTTGAAAATCACTGAGATCATGTATATAATCATCATCACCATTCTAAAGGTTAACATTAAGTGTTTTATATGTAATGATATCTCACTTTACCCAATAACAGTTCTAGGGTAGGTGCCAGCCATTCCCTCAAATTATACAGATGAGGAAACTTAAGCATAAGGAGATGCATGAAAGTGTTTAACATAGCAATTGTTACATTCCTTCTCAGGTCACTTACTGTGGGCAGCTTTCTTTTCTAGCGCTAAATAACAAGACTTATTCCTATATGTCTTATTCTCCAAGAAAAAGCCTTCTGGGAGAAAACTGTCCTACACTTCCTTCATTATCCTATCAGACAGCACTCAAGTGGAGGAAAGGTACTTTGTCTATTCCCCTCAACACCAACAAATAGTACAAAATCTGACATACATTGAGAACTCGGGTCAAACCAAGCTGAAGCCATTTCACTGAAGGAATCAGAATAGTGATGGATAGACAGGTAGCAGAGACTGTTCGCTATTCACCAAAATTAGTTTACTTTTCTCCCAGAGTATTCAGCTAGATAACATTCCTAACCTCCCGTACAATAGTGTAGCCATGTGACTGAAGTTCTGCCAATGAAAAGTAAATGTAAGTGATTATCCCAAGTCCGGGCTGGCTCATTAAAACCTCCCAAGCATACCCCTCCATTGCTTCCCCCTCCCCCGGTATCTATAGGTGAGGAGGGAAACTCCCACAGTGATCTTGAAAGCTAAGGGTTGACAATGACAGAGCCTAGGTCACGGAATAACTGCCCCACCCTCACAGTGACCAAACACACATGCTTTGGACTGTTATGTGAACAAAATGTACGTATAAACATGACTCGTGTTTGAGCAAATATACATTTCTAGGGTCTATTTATAACAGCTAATAGATTACTCTAATAAATACAAAAGAGTAGGCCCTGTTAAATGTTTGTATAAATATCTGTTGAATAAATGGTTAACAAATACCAAATCTTTGGACGGTACTTACTGGCATAGTGGGGTACATTGGGGGCTGTATGAAAAAGCTTATGGATTCCATGCCCACAGTAGCTTCGAACAACTGAAAAGCCATTTGCTTGGGCATGCTTCTGAATAATGTTTCCCAGTTCTCTGTATCGAACGCCAGGTTTCACTAAAACGGAAAGAGAAGACTTATGAAACAGTAATAAAAGCTAACATTTACTAAGCAATTACTATCAATGTGCCAAGAACCTTTCTGAATGCTTTACAGGCCTACATGCTGAGACTTTCAGATGAGGAACCTGAGGCACAGAGAAGCTATTCTGGCAGTAAATGGCAAAGGGGTGATTCAAACCAGTGGCACTGGTACTTCCTCCTTTGATGTGGATGCATAGAGTAAGTGGGGGGAGGCACCTTTTGCTTTCTGAATAAACAAGAGAATGGAAAACACACTTCTCTCCTTCCCTCAGGTCCAGTGTGCTATTCTATTAAAGTGAGAGGAAGAGATGAGAGTAAAGAGCATCAGGAGAAAAAGGAATGTCCAAGGTAACTTGACTTGTCCTGAGTTTCAGTCTCATCAACTTCTCAAAGAATTACTTCCATAGAAGTGGTTCTCAAACTATTCACAGCTGCCTCTGGGGGTAAGGTATAGAAAGGTACTTCTCACATGTATATACTTCCTAGTTCATTTAATTTTTATGACTTTTACTTCTGTTTCCATAAAAACCAAAACAAAGAACTGGTTCTCATTGCTGTGAAGACTCTCCTGGCACTGCGACCCCTTGCACTGGGCCCTGCCAGACTCCTGGGGAATCCAGCCACGGTTCTGGGTGTCCTCCAACTCCCTAGTCGTCTCCTGTGCCCAATTTCAACTTGAGGTTCAGGTACAACATACCTTGTCCAGCTCATCAAATTTCTGGGCAAAAAGCTCAGGAATCATTTTTATTAACACTTACTTGCTCTTAACCAGATGTTCCAGCTTGACATTTTTGGGGGTGGGAGGTTAATGATTTTGAGGAACCATGCTGACTTTCATAATATTCTTGCATTCCCATCAAGCCTTCCTATCAACCCCAGTCAATGGGAAGAAAAGCAAAATTTTAACCCATGTTGGACAGTAGCAAATAAAGAAAATCCCTACTCATCAATAATGAGGGAGAGTGAAAGGGGAAATTCCTCCTTAATTCTCAAAGCAGAGGCAATCCTGGTCCCAAGGGTGCATGCAGTAGTAACTGTAGATATTTTTGGTTGCCACAACATGGAGTGTGGTACAAATGGCATCTGTTGGGTAGCAACTAGAGATGCTACCTAGCAACCTGCAATACACAAGGGAGGCCCCTCAAACAAAGAATTATCAGATACAAAATGCCATTAATGTGTAGGCTGAGAAACCCTACGAAGAAGGCTAATTTCAACTAATAGTCAAGCTCTCCAGTGGCTCACACTACGGTGGGCAGCCAAATCAATGGAAAATAGGACAGATACGACACATACAAACCACCTTCCTGAGATTAAGCAACTTTTGTTCTTTCCTGGCTACGTTATGATGACTGGTTTCTGGTAGTTTCCTTACAAGTCTTTGTAAAATAAATTTCAGCAGTCTGGTTATTTCAATCAACTCAGAGAATCAAAAAGGATATAAACATTGAACACATTATCTGGCAGAAACCCTAACAATTATTTAAAACTAAAGCTTCCACAAATGAGAAACTAAACGCTCAAGTTCTCATCACATAAAACCACTAGGAATATTGCAGTCCTTTAATAATCAACAGGGGCCCTGGCTGGTTTGGCTCAGTGAATAGAGCAACGGCCTGCGGACTGAAGGGTTGCGGGTTTGATTCCGGTCAAGGGCATATGACTGGGCTGTGGGCTTGATTTCCAGTGGGGGGCATGCAGGAAGCAGCTGATCAATGATTCTCATCATTAATGTTTCTATCTCTCTCCCTCTCCCTTCCTCTGAAATCAATAAAAATATATTTTAAAAAGTAAAAATAAAGGAATAAATATAATTAAATTAGATA